AGGGACTGTATAAGCCATATGGCTTATTCGCACAGCCATATCTAGTTGCTTGGTATGGGCTTATTCGGTCAGCCCATGGCTGAACCACTCAGCTACAAAACCAGTGTCCTTTGTATTCAACTGATAACTTTCCTCAACTACCCTTCCCCCAACCCCTCTCCATAGCCACTCCTCCCTCAACGCAATCGCCACCATCCTTAAACAGAAAAAAAAACACAGATCCAAAGGGTGAAACCTTTCAAACAAATCAATAACCTCCAAACTCCAAAAGTCTTTATCCATGGAAACCATCATCGTTCTCTGCCTCACCACTCACCGACTGTTGCCTCCTTCTTCTCATCTGCTCCGACCTACAATATCATCGTCCATCAGGAGCTCAATGGAGGCGATGAGAGCAATCGTGTTTTTCTCTACTCCTCATCTGTGTTTTTCTTCTGCTCCGACTGTCGCCTGTGTTTTTTCCTGAGTGAAGGTAAAAAATCAAAATAAATGGAAAAGACGATAAGTAGATAAGAGTGAATGAGTGAGTGAGTGATTGATTAAGGTTTCTTTTTCATGCTTGCTGAGTTGTTATCTAAACCAGCGACGTTCGATTAGATTTAGAAAGCATGAGACGGTGAGTCGATGAGGTGAGGACTGAGGACCGAGTGTGAGGCTGTGAGGTTGAATTGGATTTGGATACTTGGATTGGAAACAAATTAAAAGAGGTTGGATTGGATTTGGATACTTGGACTTGGTACTTGGATTTGGATTGGAAAACCATTATAGATTTGGAAAACCCCCCTTTTTGACATTGGTCTGAAGAGTAAAATGGTCATTTCTAATATTCAGATTGTTTATTCAGCACAACAATCGAACAACAATTTATCTATTAATATACAGACAACCATATCAATACAGACAACTATATATATACAAGTCTTAACAGAAAATGAACCGAACAACCCCTATGTTAACTGTAAAAAAATTTCTATACCACACGGGAATTTTCTCATAGCTACAATAGTAGGCGTGGAACCTAAGACCTTTAAAGAGGCTCTCAAACATGTTGAGTGGCTTAAAACAATACAAAAATAGATACAAGCATTTTAAGATAACGGTACATGGACAATGGAAATCCTTCCAATAGGGAAGAAAACATAGGGAAGCAAATTTGCATATAAAATCAAATATAACTCTGATGGTATTATTGAGAGGCTCAAGGTATGATTGAGTGTTATTCGGTCAGCATCAGGTCGCGGGTATCGACTATACGAGACTTTTACCCCCATGAAAAAATGGTGACTGTTCATACATTCCTTGCCATTGCAGCGTTAAAGAATTAGGAATCGCATCAAATGCATGTCCATAATGCTTTTCTCCATGGAAATTTGGACAAAGAAATATATATGAAATTTCCTCTAGGTTTTAATTATGACTCACCTCGTTTAGTTTGTCAATTGCGAAATCCTTTTATGGATTGAAATAGGCACCGAGATGTTGGTTTCCTAAGATTGTATCTGCATTAAAGGGTTTGGGTTCTTACAATCTTATTCAGATTATTCATTGCTTACATACACTAAGGGCAGTGGAGATTAATGTTCTAGTCAGGGGCGGACACAGTAGCAAGGTGGGGGGGGGGGAGGACCCCAGTCAAAAACTAAAAAAAAAATTACTAGGTTTTAAATGATTTATCTTCCACTTCCCCCCATTACATTTTTCCACGGGCCCCAATCCCAATCGAAACCGTTACTCTAACAAAAAAAATCTATTGAAATCAATCAAAAAAACCAAAAAAGTTATTCCAAATTGACAAAAGCATTAAAAATTCCTTCGAAATCAACCAAAAAACTTTAAAAATCACTCGAAACGTTGTAATTAGGTTAAAAACACATCGGACGACTTTGCGGGCCTTTAGTCTACCTTAAAGATGACCCCACTAGACAAAAATCCTGGATCCGCTACTGGTTCTAGTGTTTGTCGATTATTTGATTGTTGCGAGGAATGACTTTGATATATTGAAGGCTTTTAAAGGTTACCTTGGTGATTGTTTTCATATGGAAGACCTCTGAGTTCTGAAATATTTTTTCGGTATAGAAGTTGCTCGTATCCTATGAGTTTATTTCTCTGTCAAAGTAAATATGCCCTCGATATAGTTTTTAAAGAAGATCTACTTGGTGCAAAACCAACAGGGTTTCCTATTGAACAAAATCATCGTCTTGCAAGTGCAACTGGTCCTCTTTTACTTGATCTAGAGCCTTATCGCCGGTTCGTGGGACGGTTGATCTATCTTGCTGCTATATGACCAGATTTAGCTTACTCAGTCCATGTACTTTCTCTCAATTCCTCCATGCACCACGCCAAGAACACCGGGACGCTGCCTTCAGAGTTGTTCGTTATCTAAAAAAATCCTCAGGACAAGATATTTTACTACACACTAATAGTGATCTTTCCTTATCTGGATGGTATGATTCAGATTGGGCAACTTACCCTCTTACCCTCTTATCTGGATGGTATGATTCAGATTGGGCAACTTTATATGAGATTTCTGAATGAGAAAAAAATATCATATTGAGCCTAGAATATTAGGATCGGATCCAAAACCAACAAACCTAAATCAATCAAAAGAAAAAGAATATAGGTAATGGAAGGAAGCGATATGAATTGAGTGAGAGGGAAGTTGGATGATCCGGCCCAAGTACAAGCTTGAGAAAATAACATTTTGCATTTTTATAGAGAAAACAACGTCAAGAATACAAGGTACAGGCTTGAGAAGAACCCATCAAAATCAAAATCCCAGACCCATCAATTTAAAGAACCATCAAAAGCAAAATCCCAAACCCATTAGTTTTCAAAAACCCATCTCGAGCAGGATGTGAGGATGTGGTGAAGGAACAAAATCAAAATCAAAATCGAGTAAGAGTTATGGTTTCATACCTTAGAGAGCAGAGCTAAATCGAGTAGGAGCAAAATCAAAATCGAGCAGGAGAAAATTGGACAGAGCAACTTTAATGGTGAGGTAGGTTTCTCTTAATGGTGCTACTAATCAAATGAATGGTCTTTGAAGAGAAGAGCTGAAACATTTAAGGCATAACTTGTTGATTGTGAGAATCAATTTCACTACAAAATGCAGAGTATCAGCGAGGGAAAATTCCCTCGTAAATCCGTCGCTAAAAGGGTTATTCGTCGCTGATCCGTCGCTGATACTCCGTCGGTCAAATGCTCGTAGGTAATGCTAGCAGCAAGGGATATAAGCGACGGATTTGCGAGGGAGACTTTTAGCAACATATTAACGAGGGAACATATCAGCGACAGATGAACGAGGGAATATATCAGCGACGGATCAGCAAGGGACTTTTCAGCAACGGATCTACGAGAGAACTTTCAGCAACGGATCTGCGAGAGAACTTTCAGCGACGGATCTGCGAGTGATCTTTTAGCAACAACAAGGGAATTTTCAAGGACTTTCAGTGATAGATTTTCCCTCGCTAATCCGTATTAATCTAAAAAATATTTTTTTTGAAATTCCATAATTCCTGTATTTATTTATACAAAACCTCAATAATATAACAAACCAAAATTGTGAACAAATTAAAACTAACCAATTCATACGATTTATAATATCCGGTTGATACAATTTAAAATATTTAATTCATACAATTTAATCTTCAAATACATACAATCTAACTACCGGGAGGTGGGGGAGGTGGGAAAACGTATTCTGACTGTCGCATAAACGCAACAAAATGCTCCGATAAGGCGGCCTGTTGGGCTAATGCAGCAGCTTGTCTAGCCTGTTCGGCCTCCAAATCTACCCTCTTCCCTCGCTGATCTGCGAATGATTTTTTCCCTTGCTAATACCTGGTTTTCTAGTAGTGGTATGTGAATGGAAACATGTTTAATGCGTTTTTATTTAAGGTGAAAGAATGAAAGCACAAATTAGTATCCATAAGAGTTTGATAGTAGAAGAATAGGTTAAACTTACTAACTAAGAGGAAGAAAGCTCTAAACGAGGGACGAAGAAAGCTAGAAGGAAGAAAGTAAAACTGAGACTTTCAGTTTGGGTGATGCTGGTGGAGGTGTATTAGTAAGTTGTACATCATGCTTTCTTAGTTTTCTTAGTTGTAATTTTATACTTTTTTGAATTTCTTGCATAAAAATAGTTGTACATTACGCTTCATAACTTGTCTTTAAGACTTTTTCATAATTGTTATATGAGGTAGTGAGTATATATATATATATATATATATATATATATATATATGTGTGTGTGTGAGAGAGAGAGAGAGAGAGAGAGTGAGAGAGAGAGAGTGAGAGAGAGATAGGTATAAAGAGTGAAATAAAAATACTATAAGATGTACAATACAAGTTGATAAACATAAAGTGTAATATGAACATGGATTAATTATTTGTGGAAATACCAAGCTATTATAATATACAACAAAAGATGTTTGAGGATGAAACCGTAGTAGGGAAACTGATAGATGGTAAGCAAGAACGTAAAAGTATAACTTATAAAAGGAATACACACATGCATGGTTTGTCAAGAGTAATTTTACAAGAAGACCATGAGCTTTAATTAACGATTTCAATATAGCTTATGCATCCCATAGTTGATGAAAATCATACGGTTAAATTGAGCAGTCTCATAAGCTGATCTGCTGAGGTGTACATAAATTGAATCAACTATTATATTGGTAATCTAGAAGGAAAGAGATGCAGATGCAGGTGTTATAAATGGTTTGGTGGTCGGCACCATTAGGCGATGTCTCCATGTGAAAATGGGGTCACAGGTGAATTTATGCTCGATCGACTCCAACGACATACAATATATAAATTGATGAACAACAAAAGGATGATAAAAGCATTCTTCTAACAACAAACCTACTATATGCATAACCTGGATTGGAATAGCACGTTGTTTAATTGTAGAACATACTATTTACTGAAAAAACCAGTCTTCTTCACGAGTTACCATAACCGTACAATGATAGGAGAATTCAACTATATGTGCTGACAGATCACAGTTTGAGATTCAAGTCGAGCGTATTTGGATCAAACTGATCAGAAGATGGCTCTGGGTACGAATAGGAACTTCCAGACGACTTCAAGTCCACCGCTCTCTCCGCAGCATAAAGTTGCACACTAGCGACTCCATATCCTGCTCCATTGTCGGCAAACCTTGCGACAGTTGTTTCATCATCTGTTCCTGGTGTGCGAGCAAGCAAGTGGGAATCCACGTCCGTCGATTGTTTAACATGGAATGCAGGGTATCTTCTAGCTGAATCTCTCTCCCTTCTGTGGGCATTTTGATGACCTCCTAATGCTTGTGGACTGTGGAGCTTTCTCCCGCAGAAGCTGCATGCATACACCTTCATGGAGGTGGATCTTGAACGCACACAAGAGCTTCCTTCATTTTGTCCTAGCCTTAGATTCAGCCACCCTTCTTCTTCACCTCCGTCTTTTCTGGTACTCATTGAAAATGTTGAACACCACTAATGATGGAGAGGAGGTGAATGCATGAAAAAGATGCACTATAAATAAAGAACCAGAGAAGAAGATGTTAAATGCTCAAAGCACAATCTCTCTCACTCACACACACATACACTTTCTCTCTCCTACACACAAATTTCTCCTCTCTTTCTCTATCTTCTATTGTCCCAAGATAATTATATTCCCATTCGAATATAAAGTAAATTTACATGTTTTTTTTAAGTATATAATATTTATATACGACAAATACAACAAATAAACTCACACACCCTCCTCACCTATGATGAGTTTTGAACCCCTGACCTTCTAAAAGGTCAAGGACTGCGATACTGCTAGGCCAAATGTCCTTTGGTTATTTAATTTACATGTTGACTATAATTACGATTATAAGATATTGTTAACATTTTTTATAACTACCAAATTATATTGATTTTATCTTACTATATATATATATATATATATATATATATATATATATAGGGTTGGGTTCACGTGAGACCGGCCTGTTTTCGTGAGACCCGTGAGACCACATTTTTATACGTAAACTTCACAGCAAAAACACTGTGAAGGTTTAAAAAAGTCGAACCTTCACAGCAAAAACACTGTGAAGGTTTTAAAAAGTCACC